TGACTTAATCTGGGGTGCTTTATTAGAAACCAGTGTAAGACAAAGTAGCTAGTATAATACAGAGTGATGTTTAAATTAGTTTACAATTTGCTTGGGCTCATCTAGACCTGCTCTGAACAAAGCCATTCAGAAATGTCAGCTGTGTTCCTAACCACTGTAACAAATTGTTGCCTGAACGCTGCACACCTAATGACTTCAAATTAGCTTCACTGCAATATTGCCTGACAGTTCGTTACGACTGTTAGTAACATAGCTGGTGTATCATGACCAATAAATTGGTTTCAGTGTGGGCTGGGAAAGGGACTTCCATCAATTTGATTAAAGAAATTACTGTAGCATTCAAAGCATAAAGACAAACTAGTTTAAGGAGACAGAAATAAGTTAACTGTACCAGAAAAACATTGCTCATGATTCAGAAACTCGTTTATAAGCCATTCGTGATGCGAACTCTGAACAACTAAATTTCTCCAGCAGAGAAAATATGAAGCAGTTCAGATTGTGTGTTGCTGTTCTCCTTCCTAACCAAATTATGATTTAGATGCATATTGATAGTTGTTTATTATTTGGTTTTGGTAAGTAATTAGAATAATTCAGGATTGTGCTTTATGCTGTTCATATTCACTGGAAGTGACAGGGTCTGAGCTGAAGAAAAGCATTAAAGAACAAAAAGTGTCCTACATACAGAGCTATCATTAGCAGGTCCATCATAGCTGATATATTTGCAGATCTATTATCTGTTCATTTGTCTAACCATTCCTTAAAATATTCTAAATTAATGATTGCTCCCCACATATTCAAGAAAAGGAAATTTTCAGAAGTTGGTTAGATATATTTCTGTCTATTCTGAACCTTGGTAGTTCAAGTCTGAATACTGTAGGGAAGAGTGATATACAGTACTTAGACAGCAGTTCAATCTCCTGCTAGATTTTGTTAGCAGAGATCCTTAATCATTGTTCTTAAACTCAGTTGCTGGTATTTGGTTTACCTGCTCAGATTCTCTTAGTGTAGGTTTAAAGATGATGCTTTTTCCATGAGAAAAATGTGTTCTGCCATTGCTATGGTGGCTGCTTCACATTTAAACCAATCCCTGAGTACACCACCATGATGCACACCTAAGCCAGGATACTCAACATGTCAACACTACATGACCCAGGTTTTATGAGATTCTAGGTGTTTAAGTTTTCATTAGGGTTGTTACATGTCACTGTAAACCAGGCCCAGAATTTATAAGAACTCCTATATTTTTTTCTGGAAAGCCTGGAATTCTGAGTTTGAGCTAAATCATCACTTTGTTAAACATATTCAAGTTGCAATTCTACCTAGCTAAAAAATAAAATGAAAGACATCTCAATCTTGCATCTACAATGTGGGGAGTATCAGAGCTGTAACATAATTTACTGTAAAAAACACAATTAAGTAGAAATTTGCCAGAATTACTAAACACTGAATTAATAAATATAATTCATTCCATAGAACTTTGTCCTCATTTACCACCAACTACTGTGTATAAAAGTTTATAACCTATATATTGAACTTGATATGGTGGATTGTAATCCACAAAAGCTCACACTAAAATGAATCTGCTAAGTGTTAAAGGTGCCATTAAGTCTTTGTTTCTTTTCGAAATCTATGCAGAAACAAACTAACACTTTACAAAGTGATTATGAAGAGCTAAGTCTTTGTTTCTTTTCGAAATCTATGCTTTACAAAGTGATTATGAAGAGTTTGTCTCTGTATGTCAGGCAAAAACAAAATAAAAATAAAGAAGACAAAAACATTGTGTCTTCTTTTTCTTTTGTCTCTGTGTGTTAATCTCTTGTAGGCCCATTTACATGTCATCCAAGTGAGGCTGCATGTTTAGCAATGTACTGTCAGGGAGAAGAAAATGCCAAAAGAAGGAAAGGAAAATAACCTGAAAGGTCTTGAGTGCTACACATTTTCACTTTGCCTGCGTAGACAATGTCTCAAACCCTGTCCTGAGGAAGAAAAACGCTACTGCAAGAGAAGGCTGAATAATAATCTATTGATCTGAAAATGTCAAAACTTTGGTAATGTAATAAACAGGAAGAGCTGTTCTGTTGTCTGAAGTCATCAAAATACACTCATCTCTGTGTCTAAAAGATGCCTAAAACACCAGCCGTTCTGCGACACAACCGTGCCAACACAAATCCAAACAGAGTGAAATATACAGCTGTAGCCTTTCATCTGGCTAAAACATGAAAAGGTATCTCATTCTTCATCTTCTCCACTCCTGAATTTCATATCAGTGAAAGGGAACAAAATGACAGCTCTACAAACTGCCTTGTCTATTAAGTCACAAAACAGTCAGGAGTGGAGTGGCTACAATATAAAAGTCTCTGGTCACTGCAATTGCCAGTGAACAGATGTTTGAAGGCTGTTCACTGTTCTGGCACTGTGACCAACTGTCAGTCTCGAGGTAGTCAGATCAGCCATCCCTCCACTCTAAATCTGGTGTTGTTGAATGCCAGGTCTGTATCCAACAAATCCCAGATTATCCAAGATCTTATTCTGGAGGAAGATGCACACCTGGCATGCAGAACCAAAACTTGGATGGGCAGGGAAGGGGGTGTTCCCTTGACCCTTGCCTGTCCTCCCGGTTGTGCAGTCCAGCACCAGGGTAGACTGGAGAGGGGGGGAGTAGCCATTGTTTACAGAAACACTCTGGAGGTTGTTAGGCGCTCTACGGTGGTGAAACCAGTCTGGAGGCCCTCCACGTATTGAATAGGGCCAGGGATAGTATTGGGATCTTGCTGGGTTACCGCGCTTACCGCGACCCAGCCATTTCCTTACTGGAGCTGGCAGACCTTATCTCCGCGGCACTGTTGGAATCCCCAAGGCTTCTGGTGTTGGGTGGTTTCAACATCCATGCGGAGGCAGAGGTTTCTGGTCCGGCTCTTGAGTTCTTGGAAACTATGGCTTCCTTGGACATGTCCCAACATGTTAACGGCCCCACCCACATGGGCGGTCATATGCTAGACCTGGCGTTCTCCACTGAGTGGAGTGAGTGTGGTCTGATGGTAACTGACCTTGTGTCAGTTCCCTTCTCATGGTTGGATCACCACCTAATAAAACGTAACCTCTCAGTGGCTCTCCCTCCCTGCAGGGAAAAAAGACCTATTTTAATGGTCCACCCTCGAAGGCTACTGGATCCTGTAGGATTCCAGGATTCCGTGAGAGGGATTCCAGCTGATCTGACTGGCGCTCCTACCGAGGCTCTGGTCGATGGCTGGCTTGCTGCTGCCACCAGGGCTGTTGACATGATCGCTCCTAAATGCCCTCTCTGTTGCAGAGCTCATCCAGCACCCTGTTTAACCAGAAGCTGCGAACTTTGAAGCAAAACAGGAGAAGGCTAGAGTGTTATTTGAGATGGAACCCGACGGAATATAATCGGAAAGCTGTCAGGATCGCGACTAACCATTACCTTACTAAGGTGAAGGCTGCCAGTCGAGCTCACTTCTCTGTCCGGATAAGCAAAGCTTCAAATCAGCAGGTGGAACTTTTCTGCATAGTCCGTGATTTATACGGAATTGGTCTGAGTGATAGGCCTCCTACTATTATTTCACCTGACCAATCTGCAGCATTTTAAAAATCTAAAGTGGAGGCCATCTGCCAGGAGCTTTCTCCTTTTCTGAACACAGTAAATCGAGCAGAGACGTCCAGCGCTCTGCCTTGCCCAATGAGACTTGAACTCTTTCAGCCTGTGATGCCAGATATGGTGGACAAAGCACTTGACCACTGTCGTGCCACCACCTCCTCTCTTGACCCTTGCCCGGCCTGGCTAATCAAAGTAGCCAGGCCTATAACAACCGAATGGGCCAGAGCAATAATTAATGGGTCTCTCCAGGAGGGCAAGGTTCCCCTTTAATCATCATCATCATCATCATCATCATCATCATCATCATCATCATCATCATCATCATCATCATCATAGCTTTCAAAAGACTATAAAGATTGCAGGGCACATAACCCCATCTATACAAACTCTAAATGATCCTTGTTGGTGCCTCTCCCAGAATGCATAGTGGGAATTTGAACTCCCGCCTGCTGGCTTGTCAGCAAGGTGGCCCAGCCTATGAATGGTGAAATGCCTTGCTCTTGTATCCCCCACTTTGGCAAAAAGTGTGGGTGGACAAAATAGTGTGACATTTTAAAGATTAACAGATTTGTTTCCAGAGCATTGAGCAAGTGATTTTTTTTTTTAAAAAAAGAAGTTTTTCTTTAAAAAAAATAACATCACAATGTGCCAAGAACAATATTTTCTAGCAGGATAAAAATACATATATTATATCTGCATGTTATGACTTACATTTCCAACAAAATGTGGATTTGGTAAATCAACACCTCCAGAAGTTCAATTGATTCAAATGAGACTACTCTAATTACAACTTATTACGCTAAAGTAAGTCACAGTTTAAGTGAGCCCATTTGAATCAATTGAACCTACAGAGGCACTGACCCACTAAATCCCAATTGATTCAATGGGCCTACTCTAGTTTGATTTACTGTGCTAAGCAACAGGATTTTGGGTATTGAGATTTGTGATCCACAACAGCTTCCATCGAAATAAATGTCAGTCTTTAAGATGTCTCACAATATTTTGTCCCCACCCCACTCCTTTTCTAACCTTTAAATGCTGGAACAGACTAACACAACTACATCTTCAGAAGCCATATCCTCCAGTTTTCCTAGCAACAGAGAATTATAATGATATGGACTATGATGCAAATCCTTGTGTTAAAGTTTTTCTGAAATTATGAGACCTAAAAGCACCTAACAGTGTATTTTGCACTAATGCTGTATTCTCCACACATGCAGTACACCTGTCTATCATAAACATAAACAGTACACAAACTACACACTGTATAAAAACAACAAAACATAGAAAAATAATTAAATAGTAAAATGTCATAAAATTTTAATTAAAATGCTAATATTTTTTTTTAAACAGTGGAACTTCATGTAAAATATATATTCTGTACCTGGAATATGTTTAGCCCATCCAATGATGACTACCAGCTCCCTGTCTGCCAGGTCACAAAGAGTGGTGAGAGCCTTGATGTCACTGTCTGGTACAGTGGGATCAGGCATGGCATAGATCTTCTCTGGTTCAGCCACCAGCAAATGGGAGACAATTTTGTTATCTGTAAAGACAGAACAAGGTACAAGTTACTACTACTACCAACTCTGCCAGCATTGCTGATTATTCAGTTCATGATAATAAAACTTGAATTACATTCCACCGACTCTCCATATCATTTAAAATTTGCTCAATATTAAAACTGTTTTTTTACTATTAATTTTTGAATCTAGTATTCAATGGAAATGCTATGTACTTCAATTGCCCCCCTAGTCCCAGAATAAAGACGCGAGACAGTGATATGGATTAAATATGGGCCACACTTTATTGCATCAAATCATATCAATCTATATCTTCAACCATTATCAAAAGAGGGGCCTGCTGTAGTGCGGAAACAGGAGAAGGCGGGGGTATCCAAATACCGCCTGATCCGCCATTGGGCGAGTCCCCGGCCCCAGGTTCCAGCGGTCTACCAGACAGCAGGAACCCGGCAAGCCGCTAATTAAACACCCCCAGACCTCAAGACAT